GCACAGGCTCTGGACGCGCAGGCTCAGCGGCCATGGCTCACGGGCCCAGCTGCTCCGCGGCATGTGGGATCGTCCCGGACTGGGACACGAACCTGTGTCCCCTGCATCGGCAGGCAGACTCTCAACCACTGCGCCACGAGGGAAGCCCTGGCAGGTAGATTCTTAACCACTGTGCCACCAGGGAAATCCCTTGATGCTATTATAAAGGGAATTGTTTTCTTAATTGTATTTTCAGATTATTTGCTGATAATGTATACAACTACAATTGATTTTTGTATACTGATCTTTTATCTTGCAACCTTACTGAACTCATTTATTACCTCCAAGAAATTTTTAGTAGATTCCTTAGGCTTTTCTGTACACAAGATAATGTCAAATGCATATTGTCTTCCTTTTCAATTTAGATGCCTTTTCTTTCTCTTGCCAATTTCCCTGGCTAGAACTTCTAGTAGAGTATTGAATAGAAGTGGTGAGAACAATGTGGAGATTAAACAACATACTACTGAACAACCAATATCCCAAAGAAGAAATCAGAAGAGAATATAACACACCGAGACTTATGAGAAGCAGTAAGAGCAGTCCTAAGAGGGAAGTTTATAGCAATAAATGTCAATATCAAAAAAAAAAAAAGAAGGATCTCACATCCACAACCTAACTTTAAACCTCAAAGAACTAGAAAAAGAAAGCAAATGAAGCCTAAAGTTTGTAGAAGGAAGGAAATAAGAAAGATCAGAGTGGAAATAAATGAAATAGAGACTAAAAGGACAATAGAAAAGATCAGTTAAACTGAGAGCTGTTTTATAAAATAGATAAAATAGACAAAACTTTAGCTAGGTTGGCCAAGAAAAAAAAAGAGGATGCAAATAAATAAAATCAGAGGTGAAAGAGGAAACATTAAAACTAATATCACAGAAATACAAAGAACCATAAAAGACTACCATGAAAAATTATACACCAAGTTAGACAGCCTAGAAGAAATGGGTAAATTCCTAGAAACATACAACCTACCAAGAATGAATCATGAGGAAATAGAAAATCCGATCAGAACTGTTACTAGTAAGGAGATTGAATCAGTAATCAAAAATCTTCCAACAAACAAAAATTTAGGACCAGGTGACTTCACTTTTTTTTTTTTTTGGCTTCACTGTTAAAGTGGCTTCAACATTCAAAGAAGAATTAGTCAGCCATTTAAATGGCTTCAACATTTAAAGAAGAATTAATACCAATCCTTCTTTCAAAAAGCAGACGAGGAGGGAACACTTCGAAAGACATTTTAAGAGGCCAGCACTACCTTATTCCAAAACCAGATAAAGATATCACAAGAAAATAAAATTACAGGCCAATATCCCTGATGAATACAGATGTAAAAATCCTCCACGGAATATTAGCAACCTGGTTATTCATCCCACACTTGAATACGGAAAGCTATAGGAAACATAGTAGTGTTATTTGAGGGAGTATTCTGAAAAAAAAAAAAGGTAAATTTTCCATGGAGTGAGCACAGTGATGTGGGGCATTCTGATTGCTAATCATGGTTTCTACCTGGAGGCCCATAAAAGGAGGGCATCCCAAAATGTGTTCTGCTTTACTAGATTGGATAGAAGCTCCTCTGAAAAAGCTTCTCTTAAATCTATTTTTTCATTTTAATTCTGTATTTGGATCACTGCCTCTACTTTCCTCTGGGTATCATGTTATCCTTGGAAATACGCTGCCTCTTCAAAATTACTCAGACTACTTGGGGTAGTCTTGTATATTAACCTTTATATTTCTCTTAATTTTTTTCAAGTAGCCTGTGATTCTCTGGCTGATACTGTGTTCAACACTGTATGGACCTTGGGCTGCCGGCCCTTTATGAACAGTCAGCGGGCAGCCTGCATCTGTGCAGAAGAGGAGAAAGAAGACTTATGAGGAAGAGATGATTTCTTTCCCATTTTGAGTGACACCACAGCCGTCAGTCTGGGAGATGGTAGTACGGCAGATGCGCCTCATTCTTTTTTCCAAAAGTTTGGATACTGCAAAGCAGGAGAAAGGAAACACTATTCTACAGCTGAAAAGTGAGTCATCGTTTGAGGAGAATTGGGAAAATGACATGGAGTGATTAGAAGACTATGCTTCACTTTAACACTGGTCTCCCCAACCAAGACATATTTGCCTGGAAATTCAGTTCTTAAAGACTAAAATACCAGGATTCCTGGAATTAATAATTATATTCATAAGTGAAATTTTGGAGAGTCCAACCATTTGGGAGGCAATGACTTTCCTCTGGTCCATGTTTCAGTTGCCAGTAAGCATCTCACATTTAATAAAGTGTACTTTTTAGAAAATTTGAAAAGAGATGAATGAATTCCATTATCACCAATATGCTTCCATTTCACTTAGAAGAGAACAGAACCCAACCTGGTAAGTTCCATCGATGATAACAGTTATTCCCTCTGGTGCTGAAGAGATAAGAACAAGGCAAGGTCAGAGGCTTACCTGATTAAAGCCAATGGAGGTAGAGGTCAGATGGCGTTAGGCCTCTAAGGTTCCATTTTTTTCCTTCATTGAACTATTCCTGTTGAAATTCCCAATTACTAAGCGGTATTAGTGTCCTGTTAAGATGAGAAGCACTTGGTAAAAAGTGCCACTGAAGACAGCTAGGAAAATCCCTGAAAACTGAGGGGAGTGAGAGACTGAGGGCCATTCCCTAAACTATGGTTCTCAGCCCTGATTGCAGATTAGAGACACCTGAGGAGCATTAAAAAAAACAAAGAATCTCTGGGAGTGCGGCTGGAGGGTGGTACCTATGTATTGGTATTTTAAAAACACTCCCCAGTGATTCGATGCACTGTGAGGCCTGAGGGCCACTAAAGTCAGGGATTGACAAATGAAGGCCCATGGGCCAGATCAGGCCCAACACCTGTTTTGGTAAAGTTTTACTGGAATGCAGCCAGGCTCACATTTGTTTACGGCTGTTCCTGTGCTAGGACAACAGAGTTGAGTAGTTGTGACAGGGCCTGTATGGCCCAGGAAGCCTAAACTAGTTACCCTTTGGCCCTTTACAGAAAAAGTTTGCCAATCTTTGATCTACATACATCATTTTCTCCTTTTCCTTCCTTTTGTTAATTAATTTCACTGGTTCCAATACGAAGTGTTCCTTGCAGTTGTTTCTAAAAAAAAAAGAAGAAAAACTGTTTTCTGATCTTATGTAAAGCCATAAAATGAATTGGCATATTAAGAAAGCAGATTTAACTGCAGATAACATTAATCTCTGTGGTTTAGGATATTTATCTCAATAAAATTTATTAAGCACCTACAAAATAGAGTACGGTATAGTTTTATACCTTTTTCTATTGTCTTATCAGTCTGAGGGCATAGAATGCCAAATAACAGGGCATATGGTACCACATTTTAATTCTGTCTACAGTTCAGTCATTGAACCATTTAAATGCAAGTTAGTGGATTTATTAACATTTATTAATTGAAAATAGTTTATTTAAGACAGCATAAAAACCTCAGAGGAAAATATTGTTCAGGAGAAAATCCAAATAGTATTTTTTTAGTACACACTTACAGTGATAAACTTCCAAATCCCCTATAACTACTCTGTCTTTGAATGGAAACTTCAGGGTATAATTATTGTTTACATATTTAAGGAGTCAGTGGGTATTTAAGTCATAATTTCAAGCAACTATTTAATTTTTTTAAGTTCCTAATTTGAAATACTATACCCAACTTCTGATTTTAGTCATGCTACTGCATCCAACACTAGGTGTTTTATTGCAGGAAAGAAATGGGGGGCATGGGGTGAGCTGCTTTCTTGGTGCACAGTGCAGCTTTCCACATTAGGAAGATGAAGCCCCACCTGGGACAGGTTGGTCAGCAGTGAGGTGATATTTCCCGACACAGTGGGCTAGAGTCAGAGTGAGTCAGTTCTGGGAGTTTGTCTAAACCCACAGTATAAGGTTTAAAGCAGCGCTGTGTTCTAGGGTGTCGGCTGATGTTCTCAGAGGGCGAGGGGAGAATTCCAAGGAGATAGGCAGCCAGAAGTAGGACTCGGGTGGTGGGTGGTCCTAGTCCTCCCAGTCGATGCTGATGGGGCCGCCTGTCAACATCTGGCTCTGTGGACCACTGTCATTCTCTCCTCCTACTGCCTCACGACGCATTCGCCGGTGGCAGCCCTGGGCACAGCGGGAACGCTCATCCAGCATCCCGCAGACAAGGACCCGGCAGTGCAGGAACACTTCCTAGAAAGATTATAATGATAATGAACAAAAACAGTGAAAAGAGCTGCCACTTGGGGGCTGCTTACTAGAAGCCAGACACAATACCAAACGTTTCGTATGTATTATCTCATTTCATCTAAACAACCACCCTTTGAGGTAGATATCGTCATCCCCATTTTACAGATGAGGAAACTGAGACTTAGGAGGTTAACGAACTTGCCCATATTCACACATTTAGTAACGTGGCCAACACACTGAGTCATGTGGGTGGTTTAAAACTCTACATCCATAACTTCTGCCTTTGTGCAGGGACACAAGAGACCTCTGTGAAGGTCTTAACGTTAACACCTTGGTTCTTCACATCAAGGTCTGGGCATAACATGGGCTCCCACGCACTTCTGTGTAAAATAACAAGTTCTTTCTCCAAGCTTCTTCCTATAAGTAACTTCCCCATGCATGCTGCCTAGCTGAGGAGGAAGATCAGGGTTAGTCATCATGGTTAACAATTGTTCTAGAACAGTGATGTAGCTGGACAGGACATAAATCCACTTAAATGCAGTATGGAAAAGACTGTTGGTCTCTTAAACTTCCTTTTGTTTATGTGTTTCAACAACTCTACTAAAACAAAAATCGAAAACCTTCTACCTTACAGAGTATACATAGCCTCTTATAACCTCTATTCATGTATATACATTTATAAAAAAACTATCACATTCAATTTGTATGTAAATTTTTATGACAATAGATTTTTCATATCTCCTTTTTCTATATTTCATTCTGCATTAACTGCTTAATATTGCATTAACTGATACACTGTTTGTTTGGTGTAAACAATACCTCTCTCATAACAGTGCTCTATAAACACATTCAACAAGCCATGTTTTACTTTTTGTTTTTGAGAAGCTGTCAGAATTGAAATTTTTAGATGATGATAATTTTATGGTTATTACACATTGTCAGACCACTTTCCAGAAAGTATACCAATTTATACTGCCACTGCATACATCTCCCTATAGCCTTGCAAGTTGAGATTTATAATTTTTATAAATTTAATATGTATAAAATAGTCACATAATAATTATTTTAATTGGCATGTAAGTACTATTTTCACTGAACATTTCACTATTTGTCTTTTCTGCAAATATTCTGTCCATATACTTTGCCACATGACCACTACACAGGCTTTTTCAACCACATCTGCTCACAGGATTTTATATTATAATCACATAGTACTTTCTTTGAACAAGCCCAGTTATTTTACTGGGTGGGGGGCAGATAACTGTGACATTCATGGAGGTGTTAACCTTCTAGATGGCCAGTTTTATAGTATTTTTCATAGAGGTGATGCAGATTCTAACTGTGGGCGGGCTTGTAGAATGTGAACAAACTGGGACACCATGAAGGAAGGCTGGGGAGGAGAGGTACCTTTACAAGGTAAAGGTGTTCAGCTCACCTTGTGGTCTTTGCCCACAAACTTGAAGACAGGGACCTGGAAGTGCTTTGCGAGGTGATCCCGTGATGTGTACTGCTTTACTGAGTCATCTGAAACACAGCTGGAAGTAGGGCAGGATAGCACGTAAGACTTGATTGTTTAAACAGAGGTGGAAAAACAATCCAGTCCAACAGTGTTTGGTCCAAGGAGAGGCAAACTGGGTGGAGGAGGCTGGGCTGCACTCAAGATTTTTGAGAATGAAAGAAAAATGAAATCCCCTCCCTGTGAAGGCATCTTCAGACACAGGCCTGCTCATTAACGCTGTTGGTCCCGTCTCGCATTCTCTGTACCCAAAAACTGGGCACAAGGACCTCCTGTTAAGTTATTGTATTGAAGTGTTAGCAACAAGCAGCAACATTTGTTTCAGAGATATCTTTTGAAATCAAGGCATATTTTTAAGGCTGTATTTTCATTTGTAATATTTTGCAGGAATTCTGCATTTATGTACTTTATTATTGATTTGAGAAGGCTTTTCTTTAACTAGATTTCACTGTATTTATGGACACTCACCCCTGAAGGGGATCCAAAGGTGAGCAAACCCCAATTTGTACAACAAAGAGCTGCAGAAAGATGTCAGTTTCTTAGAGAATAACTGGATCTATTGGGAAAAATCATTCACCTCCAAAATGTTTTAATTCCTCTTTTCCCAGATTTAATGCTAAATTCTAGTTTGATAGGGCTTTGGGGTTTTAATCTCAGGTCTACCACTTAAAGTGAAACTCCTAGGCTCGCCTCAGGATTAGTTGAGGGTAAAGAGGGGTTAGTGATGCTCCACGTTGAGGCGAAGGTTTAGTATTGATGAACCATTTCTCCTAAAGGCCAGGGCTCACATGTGTATTATGTTTTCCATTCTGAATTCAAAAGGAACTTTTTTCCTGACTGTTTTCCTTTTATGGATACTTAATAGTTCCCGTCTACCAGGCCAGTAAAAAAGTGGGATCAGATATAAAAGCCTATAAAAGTCGATACTTGCTCCACATGCTTACAGACCACTTTCTAGTTCACTGGTAATTGCTGTTTCAGGGCAGTTGAAAAATCCAATAAAATTTTTTAAAAATAAGACATCTTGACTTGTATTACCACTACTACCTCATTCCCCTAAACTGAAGAGGATCTAAACATATAATGTGGTTTCTGTTATTTCCTGTATTTATGTACGCATTTTCATTTTCCTGAGGTTAAATGAATTTATACCATCTTCTGATTATGTTCTCTAATAAATACCTAATGCATACCAATTCTGTGTGACACACTCTGCTGGGGGCTGCACAGGAGACAGAGATGAACAATATGGTCTGTGATGTCAGGGAGCTTAAAGCCCAGTACCTATGATAACAATAGTAATGTGACATTAAAATGGCACTTTTCATGTGAATGCCTCAGCATTTTCAATTTATCTTTACCTAAAAATACTATTTTTAAAAAATTGAAGTATAGTTGATTTACAGTGTTGTGTTAGTTTCTGGTTATACATATATATTCTTTTTCGTATTCTTTTCCATTATAGGTTATTACAAGACAGTGAATATAGTTCCCTGTGCTATACAGTAGGACCTTGAAGTTTATCTATTTTATATATAGTAGTTTGTATCTGTTAATCCCAAACTCCTAACTTTTCCCCCCATTTCC